CACCACCCTTTTTGGACCATTCCCATAAATGAAGAAATCGTCAAAAAAAAAATACAAAAAAAAAACGTGCATCGGTTATCGTGCTTGATTTAATTCTACTGAGCCCGTTAATTCAATTTTGTCGGTAGGTTTTTTTCCCCCTCCATCCTGAAGTCGAAGAAGTCCAAATGAAGGCTATCTTTCCACTCACAGTGAGATCTACTACCGTCTCCCCCCGAACACAACGCACCCTTATTCCGCCTGTATCTGACCGGAAATATAGCTTTGATGCATTCATTATCAGGGTGCGTTAAGTTCGTGGGAAGTCGGGTAGCTGGCGCTCTTGAATGACACCAATACCGATTACGGAAATAACCTCAGGTTAGTCAGGAGAAGGGGGAGGGACGCGATAGCCAAAAGCCTAAAGCCTAAAGCCTGGGCTATAGAATCTCTCCTTCTCCAGAGGGCGTTATAGAATCGAAGTTATCGCCCAAGTCGGCAATATGCACCCAAGTCTCGCTAACCCAGAAGGCCTGGCTGCACTGCACACCATTCTACATGAATTTGGAGCTGGTAAAGGGACCAAGTACAATCAAAATGTTCGATCCGTCTTCTTGTATGCGGTCCACATAGCAGTCCCGATACCAGTCGTATGTGGAGTACTGGAGCGAGTCCCCAAACCCCTCCGCACTCGGCTACCGCGTTCCCATCACCTCCAATTGCACCATGTCAGCAGGACCTCTCTCTCTCTATCTACACCCCCATGCCTTCAAAAAAAAAAAAAAAAAAAAAAATCGCTCGCTCTCTCTCTCTTGCTGCGGGAGCCGAGCGTCGGCTCGGCTACAGCGTTTCGACTACCGCGTTCCCATCACCTCCATTTGCACCATGTCAGCAGGACCTCTCTCTCTCTTTTGCTGCGGGAGCCGAGCGTCGGCTCGGCTACACCGTTTGGTTCTCCGAGAGGCATTGTGGAACCAAAGGTACCGCCCGAGTCAGCAATACATAATAGGACAAGGAGAGGAGATGGAGAGAGGAGAAAGGTAATACGCGCATAGAGACAGCAGACACACAAAAGTGGCCGCGAATCATCAGGATAGGAAAGTACAACACGTAGGAGGGGAACAAAGGTGGAACGAGACAACGGAGTAGGGCTTTGAAGGGCTTTGAGCAATGGAAAAGGGGATATGGGAGGATAGTAAGAGCAGGTGGAAGACAGGTAAGTGATGGTAGAGATGCAAGACGTCGGGGCATTGTCGGAGGATAATGAGAATAGGTGGAAGACAGGTAAGTGACAAGGGTAGGCAAGATGGAAGGCGACATAAGAGACGTAGCCAAGTAGAAGCAGATTGGGAGAAGCTGACATCGAGAAGAAGAGGGAGTGCACTGAGAAGTGCTACAACTGCGACAGAAGTAGAGAGCAGGTTCACAAACTGATCAGTAATCGACGGTTGAAAAAAAAAATTGACAGAAAAAAAAACAGATGGCTCCGACCATGAATCTGCACTACCTAGTACATCCGATTCAAAAATGAAAAATGAAAAAGGAGAAGAAGAAGAAGAAGAAGAAAGAAACCAACCGGCCTAGCTCAATTGGTACACCCGTGAACCGTTGAAATACAGACTCAAAGATTCCAATCCAGATACCCTAAGATGAAGAGAATAATTGTCCTTCGGGACATCCGTTAAAATTGGAACGATACAGAGAAGATTAGCATGGCCCCTGCGCAAGGATGACACGCATAAATCGAGAAATGGTCCAAATTTTAATATATATATGAAAGAAAAAAAAAAGGATGATCCAGAATTGCCCTGGGGACGGTCAGATCAATGATGATTTCTGAAGGCCATGCAAAAACAAAAAACAAAAATAATCAATAAAAGGTGATGAATAAATAAAATGACGACACGTGGTGCGGATGGAAACAGGACAAGTGGTCTGGATATGGTATACAAAGGGAGAGATGGGTAAGATTCACTTCGCACAGGATTGGAAACGAGAAAGATGCGGCACGCAGTAAAGCCCCCTGAGGAAGGCCGGGAGCGCAGCCTGGCCGATACACTTCCGTCGGGGATGATGCGCGCGCGTTTCTTGCTGAGAACAGTACATGAGGAGAAGTAATGATGATGATGACCTAGATATCAATGCTTGTACGAGAAGCAGTCTATGGTCTATGGCCACTGTTTTCAATATTCTCGCTAATTCAAAAAAAAAAAAAAAAAAGAGGTGTGAGCCTGACGTGGCAAAGAAAAGACCTACCCACATGCTATATCTACACGTGCATACAGTCTAACACCCAAATAAAACGCTCGGTCATCATAGCTGTATTTGGGGCAACTTTCAGTCTAAATGCAAACCATAATGAGGGGGCGTTATACTCGGGTAAAGATTGTAGGGGAAAAAAAGAAAAAGATAGCCATAGCTAACGAGAAGAAAACAGGATGAGATCCAAGGGAGAGAGAGAAGACAAATAAAGCGATATCCGAATGGGGAGAGGCATAGAGACGAGAGAATGTGCGAGAAACGGGCGAGTGAGAAAGAGAGGAGAAAGAGGAGAAAGAGAGGAAAAAGGAGACTGAGGGAGGAGGAGGAACAAGATAGGGCGAAGTGCTGAGAGAAACCGGGGGAAGAGAGAACCAAGGGAAGGCAATGGACAAGAGGGAGAGAAAGAGAGGACAAGGGGGGAGAAAAAGAGAAAGGAGCACGAGAGGACAAAAGAGAGGACAAAGGGGGGAGAAAAAGAGGACAAAAGGGGGGAGACAAAGAGAAAGGAGCAGGAGACGACAAAAGAGAGGAAGCGGGGAGAAAAAGAGAAAGTAGCAGGAGAGGACAAAGGGACGACAACGAACAAGAGGGAAAGAAAGAAGCGACAAGGGGGGCAGAAAGAGAGCGAAGGGATGACAGAGCAAAAGGAGGAGAAAGGATGGGACAACAACCGGAAACAGATGACAAGGGGAAGAGAAAAAGGAAGAGAAAAAGGAAGAGAAAGGAAGAGAAAAAGGGAAGAAAAAAGAAGGGAAGAGTAAAAAAGGGAAGAGAAAAAAAAGTGAAGAGAAAAAGGGAAGATTGATCAGAAAGGGACAAACGAGAGAGAAATGAGTTTAGGGTATTAGGCGAAGACATGAGGCATGAGGCAAAGAACGTTAGAGCCAAGCTGAACAGATGAGAAGCAGGAAATCGTACAGTACGGACGGTGCTGCGAGTAGGAGGACATATATGGTGACGGTCAGTTGTCGGGGCGGCCGACCGGGGATACAAAATTTAGGGAAAAGATTGAATGATTGTCCCAAAAAAAAAAAAAAAAAGAGAGAAGCGGGCTGTATATAAAACAAGCGGACAAGACGCTGAAGACAGAATGCCAACCAGACGTGAGGCTGAGGGGAGAGACGTGAGAGAGAAAGGGAGAGAGGTCCCTTGCATCAACGTGCGCAGGTGACGTTCTAGAGAGGTCCGTTATAGAGAGGTCAACTAGTGACGAAGAGAGAGAGAGAGGAGCGACAAGACAGCATGCGGAGTCGAGTGATGGGGGGGAAGAGAGAGAGAGAGAACAGCGACAACATGCGGAGTCGCGGAGTGAAAGGGGGGAGAGAGAGAGAAGGGCGACAACATGACACGTGGCCATGCCGTCAGGAAGAGAGATGACAGCCAGCAATGAGGCTGCAGATACACGTTGCAAGTGACGAGACGCCGACTCCAGACAAGTAAAACGAGTATAGTAATCTGTCCCAGATATAGACTAGATACAGAGAGACAACAGGGTAAACAAGGTAGGGTGCCTGCAGGAGTAGGGTGGCATAGAAAACGAAGAGCCAGAGACAGGATTTGAAAAGAGGAGAGGAGAAGAATAGACAGCGAGGAGAGAGAGAGAAAGGGGGGGGGGGGGGGAGCTCCAGAGATGGGCAGAGCAAGATGGAAAGA